TGAAAATCTTCCAGGTTTGATAGAAATAACTAAATTAAAAGGGGTGATATATATATATATATATTTTAAAGCATAGAATTAGCATCAAGCAAAGTATTATCAGGTGGGAGCAATGGACTATTCTACAATAAAAACTCTAAAATTGCATGAAAAGGAGATTTGCAAGAAAAGGGGACTGAGAAAGGTTACTAGTTTGGTTATCATGAAAAAAATTTATTTAGACACTCAGGATCCTTTACCACATCTAATTTCTAGTAAAACATAGCCTAAAGAGTAGAGATAATGCCAAACAGGTGTGAAGAAGCAGAGTAGGGATGTGAATGCATTCTTCGTACCAGTACTTTCATATATGCTCCTGGATCTCCATGTCTCGCTGTTGTTTATAGCATCTAATGAAATCCTCAGCAGGATTTACAAAACAGGTTAAGTGTAAAAGTATTTTGCCAAAATTAGATTAAGGTTTGTGTTGGACTTGGGGAGAAGAGAAAGAGTGCTGTTGCAACTTTTCAAAAAGAACAGAAATTTGTCCTAAAAGAAAAGGAAGCCACAACTTCCTTTTAAATCATTCAAATCACTTTAATGTTCATTTTTAATTTGGGAATGCATCAGAACACAAAAAGTTCAAGTATAATCAAGTATAATACAATAGACAATTGTATATACACCACCATGTGGATCTCATTTCTTTTAAAAATATTTTAAATAAAAATGCATTGTTTCACATACACTCCTGGAGAAGGATGCAACTTTAAAGATGTGACAAGAAGACATTGTTTTCTAGTTTAAGTGTAACATTTATTTTCTCGGTAGTACAGAAAATAGATATGCTTTAATGACTTGGTGTCTTAGTTTAGATGACATAGTGTACTATGAACTAAGTTCCACCTCAGCTTATTCCTTTTATAAGCAATCACAATCACTGCCCTGTAATTATTATATGCTCATCTAATCTTTTGTATATTCACTATACATATGCACTATACATATGCAATAAAAATGCACATACTGTTATTTTCTATTTAAATTCACTCAGAAGACATATTATCTATATCCTTTTAAAATATTTATTAATCCTTCTGCTTTTAAATATTTTTTCACGTTAAAAGGTGTAGCCCTAGCTGGTTTGGCTCAGTGGATAGAGTGTCAGCCTGGGTTTGATTCTAGCCAAAGGCACATGCCCAGGTTGCGGGCTCGATCCCCCCTAGTAGGGGGCATGCAAGAGACAGCCAATCAATGCTTCTCTCTTATCATTGATGTTTCTATCTCTCTATTTCTCTCCTTTCCTCTCTGAAATCAATACAAAAATATATGTATTAAAAAAGGTGTAGGTCTAGTTAGTTTATTCTAAATGTCCTATAGTATTTTACTTATTAAAACACATCATATGGTGGTGTTTGCAGAAGCTTCCGGCTTCGAGCTGGGCCCACAGCTTCTGCACAAAATAATTGATGGCATTTGTGGCTGAATTATTCTGTCTACCAGGATTATCAGAGTGTTTAGGATTCCACAGAATAGAATATATTATATATGTTCTGGAATATATTACCAAATTTTTCAAAGCTGTAGTTGGTAAAAATGTATCTGATGAGGAGTTATCTCAGCAATTGAATCAGTCAAATTCATTTAATCAAGATGCTATCATGAAATGCTTGAAAAATAGAAAAGATGAAATTAATCAGGCTGGTTTAGAAGAAATAGTTGATATTTCCTCTGCATAGTTGCAGAATCTTGATTGGCACTTAAAGCTTACACTTTGTTGTGACAAGATTGCTACATTACAAACTCAACTTTTAGACCTTCACTTAAACATAAAATAAAATGAAGTCACACTGTATTCTGTTGAAATAAATAAAGAAGAGCTGCGGACTCTAATAAATCCTTGGAAGCAGCTAATAAGGTCATCCTGCAGTTGAAATAACTGGAAATGATGAATATCACCAACATTATCCACTTCCATTGCTACAACTGATATGACAGAGTGAATACTGTGTTCAGAAAACATACAATATATTATAATACCAAGCTGAGAAAACAGCCCAGTTGAGATTACAAAGATAAAAGTGTATTCAACTTCCGTAAAGGACAGGAAATTACATGGTTGACAGGAAATCGACCTCCACTGCTAACTGGCCATATGACCTAGGAGCACTAAAACTTTGCATCAGTTTCTATATCTATAAAAAGAAGATGATTCTCATACCCAATTCCTAGGTTTCTGGGAGGAATGGATAAGAGAGTGAGTATAAAGCATTGAGAACAGCAGCAAGCCCATAACAAGTATAAGCCATCATTACTATTATTTAACTATGTGTATAAACTGCTCATATTTTATGTGTAATAATATTTCCTTATTATTTGAAACGAGAGCCAGGTGCATGAAATTCATGCACTGGGGGGGGGGGGGCGGTTTGTCCCTCAGCCCAGACCTCTCCAATCTGAGACCCCTCGGGGGATGTCCGACTGCCGGTTTAGGCTCGATCCCTGTGGGATATCCCTCTCACAATTCGGGACTGCTGTCTCCCAACCGCTCGCCTGCCTGATTGCCCCCTAACCGCATCTGCCTGCCAGCCTGATCACCCCCTAACCACTCCCCTGCCAGCCTGATCGACGCCTAACTGCTCCCTGCCGGCCCGGTTGCCCCCAACTACCCTCCCTTGCAGGCCTGGTTGCCCCCAACTGCCCTCCCTTGCTGGCCTGATCACTCACAACTGCCCTGCCCTGCCAGCCATCTTGTGGCGGCCATCTTGTGACCACATGGGGGCGGCCATCTTGTGCGAGTGTGTGACAGTCAATTTGCATATTGCTTTTTTATTATATAGGATGGCACTGCCTGCTTACCAGAGTTTCTGCATCTTTTCTCATATTTACTGGACATTTTTTTCCATTTATATTCTTTGCCCAATTTTTTTCTTTCATTTCCAGTTTTCTCATTGATTTCTAAGAATCATTTAGAAAATACTGATAATTGGTCATTTGCACAGTTCATTCTCTTCTCTGGCTTTGCTTAGACTTTTTATTTTATTATTATAGTGCTTGTGGTTGCACAGGAGTTGTTAAATGTAATGTTGTGAGATTGACCCATCATTGCCATTATAAATGTGTTTGTGACCCTCATTTTCTTACCCAAATCACGATAGCACTATTCATATACTTGCCTAATTATTTAAGTTTTGCTCTGGCTATGTTGCTCAGTTGGTTAGAGCATTATCCCAATACACCAAGGTTGTGATTTGATCCCCAGTCAGGGCACATACAGCAATCAACCAATGTATACATAAATAAGTGGAACAACAAATCGATGTTCCTCTTTCTTTCCCTTTCTTCCTCTATCTTTCTTTAAAATCAATCAATAAATAAAAAATGTTAAAAGTAAATTATTTAAGCTCTGCTGTTTATATTTGTGACTTAGATTCATCTGGAATTTATTTTTACATGTGGCATGATATAGAATTCGACATTTGTTTCCTTTACAAATACATGGTCAGTTTTCTCAGCACTACTCTTTACTATACCGATCAGTGATGCAGAAACCTGCCATGTACCAATTCCCCATGTATATGCGTCTTGAGTTAGTTCTGTAGGGATCTCTTCCTCTGGTATCTGGGCCAGATCCACAGTGTTTAATGACTTTAGCTTTTTGAAATTTTTGTTGAGATATAATGCATATGGGAAAGTGCTCATTTTTAAGTGTACAGAATAATCAATGTTCCTGAGCTCTCAGATGCAAAGGTGACCAGCACTCCAGAAGCCTCACTCTTGCTCCTTTCTCATCACTGCTAACACCTTGCCCAAGGTCCCCCTGACCTGACGACGAACAGCCTAGATTACTTTGACCTGTTTTTGACCTTATGTAAATGGATCTTACAGTATATTCTCTTATGTACCTGATAGATTCCAGGCAACATGATAGTTGTGAGATTCTAATTGTCTTATAACTGCAGATTATTTATTCTACTGTCAAATATTCTTTTCCCCTATAATTTTAAATAATGTTACACTAATGGAAAATTTGCAGACAAACAGTACTAACAACTTTTTTCCTCAACCATTTTCAAATAATTTGCTGGCCTGTGGTCATATCAAGGTTGAAGGCATGTACTGTGTGTTTTCTGCAAACAAAGGCATTTTCTTATCTACCCTCCATACAACCATCAAAAATAGGGAGTTTTTACAGAGGTACTGCCATCACCTGATGAAGAGGCCTTCTAGGAGTTTTTGCCATTGTCCAGTAATGAGCAGATAGTCCACAGTCCAGGCCACCGTACAGGGCACAGGATGGATCCACCAGGCTCCCGAATCTTCAGTCTGGAGCAGTTCTTCAGTTTTCTATTGAACTTCCCAGTCTTGACATCTTTGAAGAAACAGGCCACTTATTTTATAAAGTAAAAATTGTTTGCCTGATATTTTTTCATGCCTCACAAGTCATTCTATCATTTCAAATTTATTCACATGTAAGTGGATTCATCAGAAATTCAAAAGTCATGAAAATACTGGCACTGAATCATCATGGCAATCATCATAAATCACTGTCACTGAAATTAAGTTAATTAAAAATTTGTTTTTCTGAGAAATTTATAAATTCATATGTGTTTCAGTGGCAACTGCCTTCTATTCAAATTAAAAATCCTTTCTATCTCCTGCGACTGAAATTAGTTGATGCAGAGAAATTGTATTTGATGGAAATCACCACAGTTTCCGTTCACTTCTTGTTTACCTATTAAACAGGATTTTTGTGAGTTGCTCTTTTTAAAGACAGCCGAATAATTTAAAGCCTGTGAACCTAGTTATGAAGGATCAACTATGTCTCCATTTTATCATTATGAATGCTTCCAATGTGCTGAAAAGGGCATAATTTGACAAATGTTTTGTAGTTACAAATGGGGTTCAAAATCAGAGATAAATTCACTTTCATGTTTGGGAGCGAAGTCAGCTGAGTCATGCGGGACAGTGTCCTGAAGCCTTTTTACAGAGATGTCTGTCTATGCTGCACTGTGTTCCAGGTCTCCCAGCTGTACCGGAGCAGCACGGGGCAGCCCTGCTCCTCGCTGCCACCCCACATTTACTCCTGCGCGGAGCAGGCCTTGCACCAGCTGTTCCAGGAGCAGCGGCCCCAGTGCTTCATTCTCAGGTAAACCCATGCTGCACCCCATCCTGGGGCCTTGGCTGTAAAAATGTCTGCATCTATTATGGTTTACATCTGTTTACTTCCTGGGCAGGTTGCAGTCCAGTACATCGTTGATTCCTTACAAAGGAGAAATGTCTTTGTTGTTGGAAATAGCCCCAAGTGTGGCTGGATCAATATCAGCAACTTAACCTGCAACTCAGTTCATTTTGAAGATTTACAGCCTCAAACCAGAGTGCTTTTGCTTTCAAACCTCAGAACACATGGGGAAAGAAAAGCATCCGATGTTAGTGAACCTGTTCCACAGTTCTCCAAATTGTGGTGCTGCCCAAAAAACAAAATAAAAATTATTAGCTTGCAACTGTGGGTTTTCCCACCTGCTTCTAGGTATTTACTTTTGCTCATAGTTCACCAAAATTACACACTGCGAAGTATTTTTTATTGAAATGTAATGGTAACATTAGCCCATAAATGTGAAGATCACTGCTCAGGAGGATGATTTATATTGGAGCAAACATTTTTACACCAAAAAAAAAAATCTCACAGAGTTAGAGGTGAAATGTGATTATGTTTTGATATAAGATTAAATAAATATTTAGGCATCGAAATAAGATCTGCATTGAGAATCATGTTTGACATTAGGAGAAACCTGTAAAGGAGGGGTTTCTATACTCATGGCTTTCCCTGAGTTCTGACCCAGAGTGTTGGTTGAAAACTGACCCTGTAAATAAACCATTGCACAACAGCAGCCAAAGTGAAATGAAGGCATGTAAAGAAGGAAAGATGGAGAGAACCCAGAGACAATTTAAATATTTAAATAAGCATTATTTATGTACTTTCACATTATCAATTTGATTAAAAAAATGTCATGGAGGTTCAGATTGATGGGTGGCAAACATTAGTGTTCTCATTTACAAAACAACATATAAGTAAGTAGTTGTTTTCACACTTGTTCCAAAATGTCCCTGGGTAAGGGAGGCACTAGAGGGTGGCCCCATCCATTCTTGAATCAAGCAACTCTATGTTTATTTGCCTCATCTATTGTGTTTTCCGGTCTTACTGTGACAAAAAGGGAATACTTTTAAAAAATTATGAGATTGCGAGGAATGTTTGGCAGGGTTAACAATAATAACAAGTAATATGTATTGAGAAATTACTAAGTGCTAGATGCTTTCTATGTATTATCATATTCATCACTTTAGCAACCTTATTGATAGGTATTATTCTTATCACCATTTTTATATCAGGTGACTGAGTATTAGAAAGGTTAACTAATTAGCCTAGCATATTATAATTAGTAAATAGTGAATTGGGGATATGAGCCCAATAATGTGAATTATTAAATGATGATATATGAACCACCTATTCTGAAAGAAAGATTTCTTTATTAAGTTTTAAGAGTATCACCTAGTTCTGGTATTCAGAATTGAAGAACAAATCTGTGATCACAAGGAATTATTTGTATAGTCATTCTGTCTTCTTTCAAGATTAGTGTTTTATGTAGCTTCTCTACCTCCTTGATCATCTGACTAATATAAAAACTTTCTACATTTATAGTAATACATTAACATTGATACATTTAGAATTCAACTAAACACACTGCCTATAAAGTTCCCTTATTTGGTGTCTATTATGTCCCATAACTAGCTATGCAACAGACAATTTTTAAGATTTGGGATCAAAACCTACGTATTCCTAGAATAGGAATTCTGTAACTTAGTGCTAGGCCAGGAAAATGTTATTTCCAAATTTTAATCTTATTTCTCATTTTGTTGGTAATATAGGCCCCAGTGGCACACTAGGTTTTATCTTGAGGAAAGGTTTGTAATAATTCTCAGCTATTTTTCCTGGGCTATAATTCCACCATGATCTGCCTTCCCTTTGCCTTTCTAAATGCCTTGTGAGATAGTTTTAATTAATTGTTTGAACATCTGTGACAAATAGCCACTATCCTAGCCCTATGCTGAGCAAATCTGAATTAATGCTATTTGCTGTACACACAAGTAGCTTGTGGGATAAGCAGTACAGGGTCCGCCTCTGTCATGAACAGATTTAGCAGACAAGGCTGTTCAGAGAAGCTGAAGCATTATTGTGCGCCCCTGATTAGCACAACCCCAAATATCTGGTCAACTTCCAGTTTAACCATAGACTTAGATTTTGAGATAAAAAAATATTTCTTGAAGAAGTTGAACTAGAAATTTTAGTTTTAACATGATCGCTTATGGAGCCAAGCCTGTCCTAACCCATCTCTCTCTCTTTTTAAAAAAATTTCCTTGTATTTTACTCAGTTTAAATGAAATGTGTCTATTCTTAGATTTTATGAGAGAGTTAAAATATGTGTGATTTTAGCTCTGACCTTCCCTGCTCCTCGTCTGGCAATGCAACTGTGGGAGCAGAGAGGTACTCAGTGACCACTAGGTCAGCCCCATACCCTCACAGGCCTCCGTGTCTCCATATTCACAGGGGCTATTTCTGCCCCATTCACCACTCTGCACTCGCCACCTATTTCAGCTTGCTTAACAGAAGCTCGGGGAATATTTATTGAATATTAATGCCAAATAAATGCTACCTTCTATGCTACTCCTTCTCCAAGGATCAGCTCAACTTCTGCCTCATCCAGACGTCGTCCCAAGTTCCCTGAGGAGATGTACTTGCTCCTTCACCCTTGGGTGCATTGCCCACTGTGTTTTAATTATGTGGCATTTCTGTGCGTAGTGTTTATTGAGAGTATCCTGGGAAGCTAGCACAGGAATCAGTGTTTTCACCTCTTTACCTCTGAAGCCTCTGGCACATAGTAGGTCCTTAGTGACTTTCATTTGAAAGAATGAGCAATATTTAAAAAAGGAAAATGGTATTTTCAAGATTTATTCCTGAGTGAATGCAAGCAAAATCTCTATTTAAAAAAAGATTCTTGAAACATCTAATCAGTTTGCTGGGAAGTAGAATTTTAGTAACGATAAATATAATTATAGAAATTAAATTTCCACTGTGAAAGGTCTGGATTGCTTTTTCTCTGAAATTAGAAGGTTAAAGGCAAAGGTCTTTGAACCCAGAAAAGGAGCCGCTTGTCCTGTGCAGGTCACTGTCCCCTGCTCTGCTGAGGATGTGGGGGCGCTTGTTCTAAAAGTGGTGAAAATGTTTGCAGGCAGCATGGATAAGGGGAGAAGCATTTGTTAACAGCCCGAGACCTGAATAAAGTAATTAAAGTTCAGCTTCTTTTCTGGCAAACCCCCTTTAATCAAATTCATTAGAACAAAACTTCAAGGGAAAAACCTGAGAAAACACTAGTAAAGATATATATATATATTTAAATTTTTTGATTCAGAGATAAAAGACTAAGAGATAAAAGTATTCTATCTGGATGTACTAAAAACTTTATTTTATATCAGACCACTTTGGTATGGCAATTATTATATTAGAATTTTAATACTAAATTGTCTAATTTCAGGAGTATAATACAGTAATTATTTATAGGAATTAGGTAAGGTGTGAAGTATGCCTGGGAAATATCATTAAAAATAACAAGTTGGTCCGTGCTTGTTCCTAGGTTGAAGGACAGTGGGAAACATGGTCTGTCCAAACTGACAGCAGCCTCCAGAGAAAATGGGCCATGTTAGGGTCTGCTGAGGGTCAGTGCTTTGCTCACCTCTGTTATCTTAGCAACTTGGTTTTAGCAGCTGCACACTTTATATTCATTCAGAAGAAAAGAGAAGGAAAGCTCAGAAAGATGGAAGATGTAATGTCTTGTCGGGAAGGTGCAGGAAGATTTCACAAAGCCAGGCCGGGTGACTCTAGGACGAGGATGCGTGCACCTCCAGGGCAGAGGGCCATCACCTGGCTCCACCTCACTACTGTCATTTACAAGCTGAGGACCAGTTGATGGTGGCTCTTTCCACCTCACACCTTCCTCCTGTACTCACCTAAGTTACATGTTCCTGCGCTGTCAGGTATTGGATGGCAGAGGTTGCAGCCTATTCATTTGTAGTCCCGCATCTAGACCCCATAGGGCACCTGACATAGGAGATATTCACTATGATTTGAATGAATGAATCAAATTAAAGAGTAAAAGGATACCATAAACTCATTGAAAGTTATGTTGTTCCCTACTGTCATCATGCTGGAGAATTATCTGTGGTTATTAATTTTTTACTATAGTTTCCAAAAACAGTAAACTTGTGTTTTTTTCTCTCTTTTCTTTCAGTGGAGAAAGAGGGTCTGGAAAGACCGAAGCCAGCAAACAAATAATTAGGCACCTAACCTGTAGGTCGGGCACCAGCAGGCCTATCTTTGATTCCAAATTCAAACACGTAAGTTTCTTATTTGGCTTGGGAAATACGTTGTGCCAAGAAAAAATGTCATTTAAAAATACAGGGTGACACCATAATACACTATGCGTTTGACCATAAGTGGGACAAAATTTGTGGAAATAAAGAAAAAGAAAAGTTTGAGGCTTGGTATAAATGAATATTGTTCAAGTGAACTTTTATTTTTTTGTATATATTTTAAAAGGTTTCAAACATGCTCTCTTCATATTTGCTCAGAACAGTTGGACTGAAAACACGTAATTTAGTTAGAGGTTGTTGTCCACCTAGAAAGTGCCCCTTGGGGTGTAGATGCCTTTGGCAGGGTTGACCCGATAAGCAAAACTTGTGGGCGATTAATGAAAACTGATAATAAAGTTTCAATGTGTGTAAGAGAATTGACAACAAGAAACCTTATGGGCATTGATAAGTAGAAAGTAAATCTTCAACCCCAGGCCAAAAACACATGAATTTTATATGCCAAAGATTATGTTCAATTCCTCACATATGTAAGAGGAATATAAGTTTTGTAAAAAATAAATCAACATGCTCTGTATGACATGCAAGAAAATAATGTCCCTATGTGCTGTATCATTTCCTTGATTGAAAAAACACTTTAGCTCTCTCTCTCTCCACACACACACACACACACACACACACACACACACACGTGCACATACCTTCTTCCTTTAGGGGTGTCTCTTTGCTTGCTTTCTCCTAAACTCCAAGGGCCATTCTTTTGCCTCTATAACTTGTTTTCTGAGCTCACAGAGCCCAGCTGGCCCCTTTCTGCCTCTGCAACTTTCTAAATAAACATTTGCTTGCATATGAAGAGGAAAACAAAAACACTTGATACACATCATAGGCCATGCTGTAGCAGCACACACATTCTTGGAGAGTATTTCTAAGTGAGGTGTTGCAGGTATAATAATTCGGTCTCAAGTTTACACAGCGTGCCCCTCCAGAATCTCCCCACACAGCTTCACCTCGAGCACCTTTGCAGAATGAGACCTGCGTTTCATGCAGTAATTGTATACTTGAAAGTGTCCGATTACATTGGGATAAAAGCAGTCGCTATTATCGTAGGCCATTCCCTAAAACAGGGCCATGTAAAAGTTCCCACATTGAAAATCTAGAAATGTATTTCACAATGAGTATTGTGCTGTTTGGTTTGCTTTCGCTCAGCCCTTTACCTCGTGCTGCAGGGCAGAGGTATTTCTGCCAGGTAGTGTTTACCTGGGGATATTCTGGAGACTTAGTATTGGATTCCTCATTTAGAAATGAGAGGAACTTACATTAATTGGTAGATTAATGTTATTTCCTTATATTTTCTACTTTTGAATAAGAAGTCCTTCAAAAGTTAAATATGCTTTTATGGATTCCCAAGCATGTGCCTGATCCTGGAGATTTTTCTCATTATGAAGAATATAGAATAAATCAATACTGCAGTGTATCCATAGTATCACGTGTTCATTAAAAACTTTACTTCATAGCCATTTACTAAGCTCGGCCTATAAATTGAGCACCTGCATATTTCTACAGCACAGCTCAAAATAATTTAACATTTCAGGGAAGAGCATAAATTATCTTTTTTATTCAGATCTTGCAATATGCTGACTACTGACATTTAAGGATTAGAAAATTTATAAAACAACACAGTTATAAAATAGACGTGAGTTAACTAATAGAATAGCAGGATCCATTGGCTTAATTATCATGACAAGAAACAATAGTCTCCACTGTAAATTATAGACTTAAGCAATCATTTATTAAAATGATCCTTTGAGAAAGAGCAGGCTATGTAATTTCTAAAATGCATTCTAGATTACTTTATGCAAATTGGCTTTGCTTTTTAGCTTAAGTGAATACATTCCAAATTGAATGTCTTTGGACAAGATAGATCTAACTCTTCCAAAATTAATTAGAATCTTGGAATCAATATTATACTATCAATGGAAACTTTACGTAAGACGATTTCTAATTCATTTTTGTTTTGTTTTATTCATTTCTCATGGCAAATTAAAGATGTCATAAATAAGTGATTTCTAGTCTCATCAAATAATATTTCCCAGGTTTGAGTATGGCTGAAAGTTCATGTCCATTATGCTTTTTTTGCTCTTCCTTTAAGTTATTATCTGCATGAATATTATTCAGTATCCAAAACATCAGCACATTTTTTTTTGCACAATGTCCAAGTGTATATCTGGAAATCGCATGCAAGCATTGGCTACATTTATGAATCAGCGGTAAATCTGTATAACATCACAAGAGTTCCGTGAAATTACATACATTTAAGTGAGGAGCTGCATGAAAGGAAAATCTGATTAAGGAGATGAGCAGAAAAGAACATCCTTGAAATATGGAGCAATTTGGTAGAAAGCTTGATGCTCAGTACAGAATGAGATGCATTGGATGGCTCTGAAAGGAGCGAAGCAAGTGGGCTGAAGTAGGGAGCCAGTCCAGCCAGATTAGATGGTGAGACATCCCTCTGAGGTACCACGCCAGCAGACACGGGGCATGAGGCTGCCTGAGGGATGTGTGCAACTGACATACACAGGGTGTCTTCCGTTAGCAAATACTGGGCGAGTCTAGCCCAAACAGTTTTGCCCTGCTTCTTGGCATAGTGTGAAACAAAACAGTCTTTGAAGGTTATTCTTATCAGCAGTTACCAGATACAGAGTGAAAGAGTGGTGGGGACGTTTAAGGAAAGAATATTAGGATGATCTTCCGCAGAGAATTGTGTGGAGGCTGAGGAATGGAGAACCTTTTCCTTGTGGTTTACATCAATGGCATAATTAAGGTTTTGCAAATTAAAGATTATAATATGGAATGTGTCGGGGGGAGAATAAAATGAAGGGGTTTGGGAGGAAGCTGCCGTTTGTAAGTTTCGTGCTGTCATGGTGAATAGTGCCCTCCATGAAGAGGGTGCAGAGAGGAAGAGAGGTTTTCTTGCTCTCGGGAAGGTGAGGGAGAGGCAAGCATTGAGCTCCAGAGGTGACGTTAGTCATTTTAGGGAGGCACCCCATGCACTGTTTAGGGATACACAGCTGTGATATTTCTGGATTTTAGCCTAACACTTCAGTGGCCTCATCTTAAAAGTCTGCTTAGGTTTATGTTCTGCCTCTGCAATGGGCTTCTGACTGTGCTTTACGCAGTGGGCAGGGGGCTTTGAATCCTGTCACCATTGTTGTTGCTTTTGTTTCCCTGTATAATTTCAAAACAGATAAGCTCACTGTAGAGGGCTGTTGCCTAGAATCCCTGCGTTTCAGTTTTATACTGTGGAAGCAGGGGATTTTCCATGGTTTATTGGAACATAAAAGTCATGCTTTTTGGGGGAGTGAAAACTGCCTGAAAATTTTCAGTAATTCTGGAACAACAGAGTTTCAACCTTAAGAAACATTAAATTTCAGTCAAATGATTTAGACACTTATTGAGTGACTGCTTTTACAGAGCAGAATTATAGGGTCAAATTGACTAAGACATTATTTTGTATTGAAGGGGCCACAGATTTTTTTATTTTTAGAAAACACAGTAGGTTAACTACTACCATGATAATAGTGCATAACTTTTAATGGCATAATTGTTAAACTTTTATGGGAAAATAATACTATACAATGTAAATAGGAAAAAAATCATGCTAATCAAATGAGTCAGTAAGTACTGAAGAAATATATACTTACTTCCCTTTGCCTACATTTTTTAATATAAAGTTTTATTACTGTGCATCACTCTCATTATTTCGTGTCAAAGGCAAATTGAATGGTGGACTATTTTTTTTTTCTAGTATTTCTCTTAACACATTTGTCTAGTGCCACCTATTGGCCAAATGGTTAATTTTAGATAAAAACCACTGGTTATTTCGAATTTAGAATATATAATGAGAGAATGCCATGTGAGTATTTATATTTTGTTTAATGGTTTTAGTTTTATGCTTTGTACGTACTGTTTACTGTTATGCTAGCAGTAATAGCCCTATAATGCGGTGATTGAACACATTAATTCCACAGAGAGACTGTATTGAAATCTCAGCTCCACTATTTAAAAGTTCTGAACTTTGGGAAACTTACTTAATTTCTCAATTTTCTTTCCTGTAAAATAGACACACTAGTTGTGAGGATTTAAGGGAAATATATGTATACACATACACATATATCCACACATACATGTATACTCATATATGTATATGTAAAAGTTTACATATATCCATATATAACTTTATATAAATACACACATATATTTATATATGAAGTTGTATATCTACATTTATATTATTATTAACAAAAAATAAAATTAATCTTTGTTATTTTCTGAATGCTAAATGTGTGCCAGGTACCAATCTGAGGGCTTTATACACCTGACACTTATAACCACCAAAGGAGTTATCCCTGTGTTAGAATAAAGGAAAATGAGGTTCAAGGAATTTGTGATATAATTTGTCATTAGCAGAACAGGAATGTGATTGCAGCTACTTCTCACTACAAAGCATATACATTTAACAATTACCCTATACTTCCTATTTGGGTACATGTCATTATTTATCTTTTATGTATTTTTTATATAACAATAAAAATTCAGTTTGTTATCTGATACAACACCAACAATTATTAAATATTCTAAAACATTCTAATCCTTTCAGTGAATCTTAAACAGTTGTTTAATGTAATAACATAAATGTTTAAGCTGTGATATAGCAGGCTGGAAGAGGTTAATGTGGAAAAAGGAGGACCTATGTGATACTTTCAACAATAAAGACCTTAGAAAGGTAAAAAAGTGATATAATTGCATTATGAATTTCACTATATATTTATGTAATGTTAAACTATTGTAAAATAAGCAAAAATAGCACCTTCATAAAAACTATTTGTAATTATTTTTCAGAAAACATTTCTGCCATAACTACTATAATTCATTTGATCTTTAAAATTAGTTTATTATAAAGAGACAAATAATAGAGTTTTGGTAAAGATTTAATATATGTTTCTATTCAAAAGATCAAACTTCCAAAACAGATATTTTATATATTTCATTATCACAACTCAACACTTGATTAACATCAAAGTGTTTTTCATAATCTTTAAAAATATAAAGTACTTCCAGGCAAATTGAATGCCTTGGTCTAGCAGTATTCAGAATATTAAAAAATAGGAGCAAAGTTTCTTTTTTTATATATTTAGATTAAAATTCTCAAAAATATTGTTACCTGAAATTATGATGAGGTGTTATTGTGCTCCCTCTTGTGGCTAATACAGGAACTGTATTTAATATTATTTTTATCTGGAAAAACAACTTTGACCTTCATATTTTCATGCTGTTTGGAGAATTTCTTGGTCATAATCATTATCACAAGCACAATAAATTATGAGAATAAATTGTGTTTGTCCTATAGTCAGTGTTTAAGGAAACACATCAAGAATGAATTTCAGATGCCAGGTTGATCTGAGGAGCTTTATTAACAGAATTTTAAAACCTCAAATTCCTCACTTCTGAAAGAGAACACATGGCAGTAAGAAACGCTGGGCACACAGCTTCATCTAGAATTCTTATTCTTGTTTCCGTGGGAGAGAATGGTTGGTTTGAAGCAATAACAGGGTGAAGGGAGCATAATGCAGGGGTTCGGTGTTGAAAAAGAGTGTAAATTAAGTAAAAGTTGAAAGAAGGTTATAATCCAGTATTTAAGTGCATTTATTATTTTTAAAATATATTCTATCACTTTTAACTTTAATTTCTTCTCCCCAAAGCCACAACAGCATACATATATATGATTTTTGATTCACACATCTTATCAATGTGTACATTTTCTATACATACATACTTGTGTTAAAGTTTAATTTTAAAGCAGGCACAATAAAAGATTAACAACAATGACAAAATAAACAATTATAACATCACATCTTCATAGAAGTTATGTGAATGTGGCATTATTAAGTAAAATAAGGGTTACTGTACACAAGCACTTTGATGCTCCCACAGTTGATATGATAACCAAGATGGCTACAAGTTACTAACAGGCATGTAGCATATGCAGCGCGGATACACTAGAATAGGGAGGATTCACTTTCTGGGTGAAAGGAGTGAGGTGACGGAAAATTTCATCATGTTACACATGAACAGTGCGCAATTTAAAACATGAGTTATTTATTGCTGGAATTTTCTATTGAATATATATTTTAAATATGTTTTATATTGATTTTAGAGCGAGAGGAAGGGAGAAGGAGAGAGAAAGAAACATTAATGTGAGAGAGCTGCCTCCTGTTGCCCCCTACTTGGGATTGAGCCCGCAACCCAGGCATGTGCCCTGAGCAGGAATTAAACCAGCGGCCTCTTGGTGCATTGGTTGATGCTCAACCACTGAGCCACACTGGCAGGGCTCCATTTAATATTTTTGAACCATGGTTGACCCCAGGTAACTGAAACTGTGGAAAAGTGAAACCATGCATAAGGACACTACTGTAGTTTGCTGTAGGAGAGGGACTTCAAACATCCAACAAGCGGTTATATGAACAATAGAGAACCTCTTAGATAATGGAATATTTCTCATATTCTTGCTATTATTCTCTAGTTTTATGTAAAAAAACAACAACACAAAACTGAGTTCAATAAACGGTCCTCTTTTACTGTAGGTCTTGTGCATTTTAGAAGCCTTTGGACATGCTAAGACAACTCTTAATGACCTGTCCAGTTGCTTCATAAAGTATTTCGAACTGCAATTCTGCGAGAGGAAAAAACAGTTAACTGGAGGTAAGTTTAAAATGAGCAAAGGGAGTCTCACTTGCTACCAGAAGAGGGCAGAGGAACACAGAGCAGTAACAGAGAATGCTGTGCATGCCTGTGTGTGTGCACATGCGCGGGCATATCTGAGCCTTCAGGTTATGAGTTCTAAAATTGTTTTGACTTAAAAATAACATTTTGAAATGAGAGGTGAGTTTTTAAGATGATTATTGTATAAACTATATAATATGGAACCAAACCAAAAAGAGCTGAAATGAATCATATTTGCTGAACATAGAAATGAACTCAAATACAGTGGGGCCTTGACTTATGAGTGTCCTGACTAACGAGTATTTTGAGATACCAGCTGTCTCTCGGCAGATTTTTTGCATTGAGTTGACAGAGTAATTTGAGTTAACGAGCTCCTTAACAAGCTCGGTCTCGGAACGAATTAAACTCGTAAGTCAAGGCCCCACTGTATGTACTCAAAATATATTATAATGTGAGTATATAATTTCTCCATACAACACACACTACAATCTACTTGAAACAGAATGGAATCTATATTTTTAAATGATTGAATTAAAACAAATCAAAATATTACAGTAATCACCCACCAAACCCAAAGAGACTGTTTCTTGGTTTAAATATTTACTGTGTACTTTATGAAAACCCCCTACTTTAAATTCAACTCATTTGGAATTCAGTTAGAATTTTACATCTTTCTAATCAAAACAAATTATCCATGCAAATGAACAATATAAGTGTAATTGCAGATGGAATGCCTAGTCTACTTAGAGGAATCAACTATTTTACAAAAGTTTTATAATAGCTGTTAGCATACAAATATTTGCTAATTTAATGATTTTTGAAAGATATCAATTTTATTTGGCATTTTCAAGTTACTCTATCTTCCCTTCAGAAACTAAAAGTTAGTTTTGACCACAGTTTAGAAACAAAAATCTGTATTTTGCCTGAGTTTATGTCAAAATCAAATATTTACTAAGTGAAATTTGGTTTAAAAAATGCATAAAAGGGGCAAAAAAAGATAATTTTGGTTGTCAAGAGCAGAGGCTTAAATTTTGCAATAGGAAAGTTTTTTGTTTTTTATTTTAATCCATGGCTAAGAGCTCTATTTGAAGATCTGCTCTAGGGGGACCTCCGGGGAGAAAGGTCTTGAAGCACCGATGTCTTTATGTGTGGTTTTATGACACCCCAGTGAGACTGTTCCTCCAGGTGAAAGGCACAGCTTGAGCACTCTGTGACCGTAATTTCCCCCTGAGCCTTCAGTGGCCAGTGGTTGGAGCCATAGAAGTGAAGGGAGTAGGACATTCCAAAAGTTGTGCTTCAACCCCTTGTCACTCCAATGTGTGACCCAAAGATAAGTACCATGGGCGGCATTTGGAGCTTCTTAAAATGTAGACGCCCCGGCCCAATTGTGGACCTGCTGACTGGGACTCTAAAATCTGAGAGGCGCTTTTCTAGCCCAACCCAAGTAAAGCTGGACACTCATGTTGATGCATAACTGGCATAAAGGAGAAATCGCTTGTCTGGGTATCAGTCACATGACTTTTTCCACCCTTTCCATTGGATACTCCCTTTACCGAGGTCAGAATGTACTAAATGGCTATGAAGGTCTTACCCATTACTGATTTTGTTTAATAATTTGACATGTCCTCTTCTCCAGGAATGTTAATTTATAAAATTATTATACACACATATAAGAAAGCACTAGAAAACGCTGCAGTGAGCACTTACATATGGAGGCTTCTTTAATCAGCAGTCTCTATTAGCACGCAGTCCCACACAGCTTCAACATAATCGCATCCACAAATACCTCTCACGCGGCTTCTGCAGGCGGCACACTGTGACACAGCGATAATAAATATTCATAAAGATGAACCTGAGGCACTTCAAGATTCCACAGTGCCCTCAGAATCATTAAGGAGTGATGAGCATCATTTCTGTATACCTGAGCATTGTGCATAATTGAATTTATTCTCCTCTTAGGAAAACAGCAATGCAGGCTCCCATGTAGGTAGGTAGGCAGTCTCCACCTTTCTCCACTTCCCATATTGTTTTTCTACTCATTCTGTTCTCCTAATTAGAATCCTTAATTCAATTCCTAGTGCCTATCTTTGTTGGGTACTTCCTTCCTGATTTTTTTGTTTAAATTCTGGCCAAATGATATTGTGGAGGTTTTTAAAAATTTTATGAATGAAACAACTACTAACAAATAAACAGCAAACAAATAAATAAGGCCAGTGCTAATTGAGACTACATTAATAGAAGCAGAATGCCTAGAACATAAGTGGTAGGGGAAGAGGTCAGACTGGGAGTTCAATTCTTTGTTTCCTGTATTTAAGAGGAAAAATAAAGCATGTATTCAGAAAATGTTTATCAGGGGAAGTGAAAATTGAAGTGCCATGTGTTTGGAGCGAGCTTTGAAGAAAGTAAACACATTTACACTGAAGAGAAAAAGACTCAGGGAAATATGACAGCTGTTTTCAAATATCTGCTACTGTGGAAAGGGTCATGCGTACACAGATGTAGTATGCATACCTTAAAAAGTTGGTGAGTGTTCCAGAGAAGGAGTATTTTCACTTAATCGCAAGAACTTTCCACCTTACTTCCTTGTGATTGCCAAGTGCTTTCTCACCCTGACACTGGGCGCCTTCGAGCAGGATGGAAGAGGTGACACCAACCATGTTAAATAGCCTGACCTGAGGTAGGACACCAGGACCAGATTATTCTAAAGATGCTGCCCACTGCTTTACATGCTCTGAATTCAAATACGAAGGACTCTGTTACCTGCTGACAGTCCCTCTAATGTCCAGTGGAGGGACTGGACAGCATTATTGTGTCCAGTGCCTGTCAGCAGAGAACAAACAGAGTCGATATATGGATGGGATATAGTGTGTTCCTGTCTCAGAGCTATAGGGATGAAGTCCATTGATGGCAGAGATCTTGTCTGCCCTGGTTTGTAGTAAACATGCATTAACTATCCATTGGGTTAATGAATCTAAGGAATGGGCATTGTAAAGGAACAATAAACTGAAACAGTCATTATTCAGTTCAGGGAGGAAATTGCGAAAAACCATCATGCACTCATTCCTGCCAACGAAGGACACATTACTGAAATAGATAAGGAAGGTTATCAATAATTAACTCTGGATTAGTTTTTAAATCAGAGCCAAGGTTTTTTGTTTCATAATTAGAGTTTGTGTCTGCTAAGAATAGAACCATATTCTCTTTTCACAGAGCAGTTTATCACGTTGGAATGGGCGAGGCAGAAATATGCTGAAGGGTCTACAAAGGGAAGACTACCCAGAGTCCACGTGTAAAACGTGAAGAATAGTTGGCTTCTTATCTTTTCTGTGCCCCAAAGACACTTGCATATATTTAAGTAGATATTGAAATTTACTAACAATTGGAAATGTCTCCCAATGAATATGCCAAGGCTATGCTATCTATTTGGGAAACTTAAAGCTAACACAAATGAGATGGAAAATACATTAAGGCTTTTGCCTTGTCTTTTGTGAAATCTTGATTTTTAAAAACAAACCAGAAGATAGTCTTTATCTTCATTGTTATCATCAGTTATCCTTGCTATTATACTCTCAATTGGACTTTCTTTTAAAAGCTTCAGAGAGCTTTAATTGATCTTATCTCCTTTGAAGAACAGCATCTTTTAGTGCAGACAGCCTGGGCTTTGGAGATAAGTCTTTTGGGTTTTAATGTAAAAAAAAAAAGGTTCACAACAGAATTTAAATGAGGCATTGTTTGAAAAGCACCCAGCCAGTGCCTGGTATACAGCAGGGCTCTAACTGGGGGCTCCTCCCTTTTGGAGTCCACAGGGAGCCTGGGACCTTTGTATCTTTTAATCCCTCGTTTTCTGGTGGGGAAAGAGAAGTTTAGAGGGGCATGGAGATTGGCAATGTCAGATTCAGGACCCGTTCCCATACTTTGACTCCTAATTGAGAACCTAGAATTAATGATTATTAATAATGAAGTCAACAGAAATGGCTAAGTGTGAAAGAGAATGTTTGATTATATTAATCAATAGTATGCTTCTGGTGATTGCTACTTGAAGGCATGATGGGGCTTTTGGGGAACAGGTCATGATTTATAACTAGGTGAATGGGGCAGGGTGAGAGTTGGTGCTGGAAGTCAAAAAGGCAGTGAAGGCAGGCATTTGTTGTTCTTGAAGGAGAGGGAAGTTTATATCCTCTATTTTATGCCATATTGAACACACATTGGAGCTCTCTAAAATACATTTCCTACATATAAAATCTGTAAACATATATATATATATATTTTTTATGGTACCAAAACCTTTTGAGAAACATATATTCTCATGTGGATTACTAAAAAGATGCAGGGTGACAAGTATATATCTATTCAAGAATATTTCTGACATAAAAGGTCTCAAATGGAAATTTGAATTTTGTGTTGTTTTATGTTTTCTTCCATCCAAAAGCTCCTTCAAGATACATATTTTAAAAAATGCTACTGATCAGACTCCTGCTAATCCACAGCAATTTTATTCACTGCTGGAGATGTGCTAACTAGGATGATTAGTAATTATACTGTTTTTGAATTTAGATGAAAGGTATTGAAGCCACTCTTTGATATGGAATTCAATTAGATTTGAATGCTGCTTTAAATTAAGCCTGTATGTTGGTTGGGAAAAATGGGTATAAGGCCAACCCTTTCTCTGAGTCTAGAAGCATGATGGTCAGAAAGTCACCCCACAGCCCCCCATTCTCACTCGATATTTCTTTAGCTGATGAGTAGACAATAACAGAAGGGAACAACTACCGCAGCTTATTTCCTATGTGTATAGATTTTTTAAAAAATGTTCTCTTGATCAGTTAATTACTTTGTGGTTAATATTATTAACATTAAATAGAAAATGTTTTCAGCAAATAATATAGTTAGGAAGGCAACAAAGAAAATAAAATTTAATAATTTAGACTTCAGCTTGAAATTGCTAGTCACCTGACTTAAATACACGTGGAGAAATGGAA